ATGATGACCCGAAGATACTCCTGTGAAACTGACATCGTAATTAAACCCAGAGAAGAGCAGGCGCCTTGCAGGAAAGCTCCCAGAGTGTCCTACAAGCATAGCATGTTACGTCATGTACGAGCATCGAGAATCAAAAACTGTAAGCTTTTCAAAAAACACTGACAGGACTTTCCTTCCAACCTATATTTCCTTTTTCCCTACCTTCTCCTCCCCCCCTCACTCGACAACAAAATTCAGGGAAAATGAAAATTCCCCAAAATTTTTCGGGAAATGCCGAAAAAAAACTGGAAAAAGTGGTGAGAAGTTGGGAAAACCTATGAGAAAGGTAGGCAGGATGGATAGGGGAGGTCGTGTCAGAGGATGGAATTGTGGAGGTGGGGGGGGGGTCGAATTTCGCAGGAATTAATCACAACGCGATGGCGTGCCCTGAGGCCCACTGCGGCAACTCGCACTATATACCAGATTCCTATTTAGAACCCTTACAAATCTTTGACATTTGAATCTAGTCATGGCGCATTTTTTTAGTTTGCTTAAAACCGATCAATACATTGTTTGCCCTGTGATGGGTTTCGTTGGTCCGTATCATTTTGCAGGTTATTTTCCTTCTGAAAATTTCGGCGAACCTTCATCTAATGAGTAGGGCTTTTGCGATTGCCCAGTACGCGATTGCCAGTCAAGGTTGTCTTTGAACTTCGCTGCAAAAAGTCATATGCGATTATCGCTGAGGGTGTTTCTGAGATCGGGATTGTTTCTGAATACTCGTACCCACAGAGTTTATCAGAGGGGTCTAGTGCTTGGTAGGGTCAGCCAGACACTTTTCATATGGCAAGAATTGTAAGCCACGAACTGCCACGTTGCGACGTATCACTACTGGTAAGGGAAGGTCCTCTATGGGTCCTCTATGAAGAAATGTTGACAATTAGTCTTTACCACTTGAGTGCTTCCACCACAGCATGTCATACCTAGTGAAAAATTATCAGAGAGCAGAAGGTAAAAAAGGAATTCGTCCAAGTGGTTACAGACACCGCCTCACCCTCATGTAGTCGTCCCACCTCGAAGTGAACAGGGAGACCGTCGTGATGCACATCCCGTAGTCGGACTCCCTCTTACCGTGTCGCTCAAAGCAATTTAGAGCTGTCCCAGGGTTTCTGTTCTTGACCATGCAGCAATGTCTCGAACCAACTTTGCGGTTCAAATACACCGATGAATCTCGAAGAGGTTGTGACAAAACATCATCCTAATGGCATAACATTTTATAGACATGAAGCAAGGAGCTGAAAGCTAAACACATCCTCTTATAAAGCATGAAACCTCCCATCAGCTAAAATGAAAGTGGTCGGCAAAACGATTCTTCTTCCACACACAGATTCGGTGAGAAAATCCGCCATCACTTACGGGCCCACCCACTATGTAGAATTTATACTTGCTAAAGATGCGTCAGGTGGAGGCGTTTCTTGGGTACGGTCGTTTTGTCACGGCACCAGTTCGCTTCACCAGTTCTTGCTACTTTCGGCGCGTAGCCATTAGTGGAGATTAGAGACACAAAGTACGCTCAAGTCCGAGGTGCGTCCTTGGCATGTCCGTGGATAACGAGCCCCCAGGTGTCAAAGCGTAGCGTTTTCCCCGTCCGAAAAGGCGCGGGGGTGAGGACCCAGGACCGTGGGATAGGCTAATTCCTCCATCTTCTGCCTAAAGTGCAACCTCCGGTGCAGACATGCTGAACACCGCTACATGTCTGCATTCAACATCGCATACCCAAAAACAGAATCGACACGTATCCCGATCCCGTTTATACTGATCGCAGACCGCGCGGCGCGTGTCGCGCGCAGCCCTGACACTTGGCCAGGTCTTGTAGTTTGCGCTTCCGAATACAATTAAAACGCAAACTCCTGATTCGGATAACATTTGAGGTGTTGCTCATGCTGCAAAGTCCTCCCCCCCCCCAATGCTCCGATAAGCACTACGTGTCGATTTTGCTTTTGGGTATGCGATGTTGACTGCAGACATCAGATATGTCGACTAAGAAAAAGAGCTAATTTGATTGCTCACACGTACCTGGCGCTCCTCGCTCGCCCCACACTCCTTGATTTCCCGGTGGTCCTGGTGGACCTGTAGAGCCCACCTGTCCTGGTTGGCCCGGTTTGCCGGGCTCGCCTTGATAGCCTCGTTGACCGTTTTCACCTGGTTCACCATGGAGACCCTTGATACCCATCACGCCATCTAGACCAGGAGTTCCAGGTTCACCTGAACAGAACAGTGAGCAGGACTCAATCGAACAAGTAGTGAGAAAAAAAAAGTAATCGATATATCAACAAAGTTGCTGAATCTGCTAGTACTCGGTGATAAAGTCTGCAAATTAAAGCATGTGCAGGATTCAGTAGCAGTCCGTACAGAAAGGATTATATTCGTTCCTTAACAAACTCTCTAGAAGGCGCTTGTTTTGCAAAATCTGTTCATCGAACAACGGGATCGACATGGCGAATTCATCCCTTCTTCGCAATCACTCTCGTTCATTCTTTTCATAACCAGAGAACATTAGCGATGATCGTGGTGGCTTATGGCATCATAAAGTGGATGGGGTGTTGTCTGAAAGGTTCTATTTTTCACCATAGTAAGGCTGGGTGCTTGGGTTTCCCGTCGTCTGGTCATATCTAGGACTAGGTGAAAGAATTAACTGCTACTCTGAGAGGATCCGGGATTGGCTGCTGCTGTTACCGACGTTTTACTGTTCGGACGTACATTAGCTTTTATCTTGTTCTATTCAGTTATCTGAGGCAGAGAATGCTGCAAGCTATACAAGTCGCTTCCTGAGCACCTTCGACAAATGAATTCGAAGAAAAGGGGATGGCCACATCCCATATCAGGGAATTGATAGGGCAGCTGCGTACTTATTTGAAATACTATTGGACACTTTTCTCGTAGGATAACTCCATTTGAGACGACTGTCGCCTCTTGAGGCAGTGTTCGGTCTCAACGCGCTGTGCCGCGCAGCGACACGAATTGCCGCGCTCTAACGTGCGTTGCTGCGCTTTAACGCCCTTAGGGACGAGTTTTCAGATTTCTGAGTGGAACAATGCCCGCTTTGAGTAGATGGTGACCCATATTACCCAGAGGCTCTGCTGAATTCGTGTTTCATAATTTTCAAAGTTTCTCGATGAAGCAGGAGCAGGCTCTCGCCCATCACCTTCATGTACACCAAAATATGAAGTCATCTCCAGTCGCAGCCTGACTGGAGAAGACCTTTGGAATTCATGTCACCTCCAAACAGCTGCGAAACTTCTAGTATGGAGTCACCCATGGATAGCTACC